TCCTTCTGCAATTGGAAGTAGAGTCGCGCGAATTGGCTCTCACAATTTATAATGATTAAAGAAATAAAAAGATGTTAAAAATATATAATTTCCATTATATTTATTATTATGCAAAATACGAGAGATTACGTAATCAGTTTAAAAAAGTTATTGCATCCTTGTCGAGTTTCTTTTCTTTCTCTATATAAATGTGCCGATTATTCAAAATTGCGTTTATTGCACGAGTTGTTTAAAGCAACGTAAAAATTATTTAGCTAATTTAACTAATTTATTATGAAGAACTTTGTAGGCGCATTGCCTCTTTCCAATTAACATTAGCATATAATGATAAGATACGGGTACTTTCATCGACGTGTCCCGCTGTGATGCCAGACGGTAGCAGGTTCGCAATTAAGATATTAAAAGAACACCTCTCTTCCGTAGGCTTACATAATCATAGCCGAGTATAATTACGTATTTACATAATTACATATATACCATGCACACGGTTATTCCCCGCCTATGTTTAGCCCGCTAATGAAATCGGCGATAATAATCGATTTGTAGATAACCCATTCTGTGCACTTATCCACTTTTTAAATCTTTGTATCAGTCTTGAGTTAAATACGATGGTTACCAGTTCCAGATATATATCGGCATATATCGAATTCTGTTATCGTACGTTTGTAATTTATTCTAAATACTACTAATGATGTTAAGATACTTTAGTATGTGAAATAATTGAATAAAAGAAAGTTAATTTTTTTTTGATAAAGTGTCATCTTATTATTATTTAATTATAATAGTTCATTATTATTCAGCAAAAATGACTGAAAAGTAGTAGAAAAATTCGAGACAGATTTCACGTTGATTATTCGTCCAATAAAAGGAAAATCGCGCCGAATGGCCTTTCGAAAGTTCTGTCAGATCTGATTTTCGCGACTCGGCAAATGAGCTCTCTCGGAAGGGGGCCAGAACAAAGGAAAGAGGAAGACGCGCTGGAGAGGACACGGTAGAATCGTTTCTCAGTATGCATTCCGCGGGTGTTTCTTTGTTTTTTTTTTTTCGGACGAATTATTCGTACTTCTCGCTGGCGCAAGTTTCACAGGAGTGTGTATATAAAAGTAGGCGCACCGAGGTATGGCTCGCTGCACCTTGGCTATGCGGAAAGGAAAGGCTCTTCTTCAACGGCGAACCGACCGACCGATCGTCGCGCGAGCGTGCGCGCACACACACACACACACACACACACACATGCATACAGACATGCGTGCAACTCGGCACACATCGAAGGCCGTCGCTCTGTTCGTCTCTCGAGCACGTATATACACGGAACGGGTAGCGTTGTGACAGGTTACAAAGACGTATACATGCTCTGACGGCAACGATAACGCATCAACGATAGATATAAAATACTCCGCGAAACATTCCATCTCTAACTAAGTATTCAGAAACTTAATCTCCGAAACTTGAGCTGGACATCTAAGTCTGATTACGTCGTGAGAAAACGATTCAAAAGTTAAATTCGTACGCCTTTTCAAAAGTATCTCTCTGCAACTCGGTCATTAAAAAGGCAATAACACAGTCGGGTATAATTTAAGAATCTTATTTTTCAATGTAAATCATGAAACCTGTTTAAAGGACAATGGAGTTATTACAATGCGCGCGTAATGTGCGGTTAGAAAGGGATGAACTTTCAACTTAATAACCGCGAAAGCGAGCGCCGCTGCGAAAGACGAAAGAAACGAACGTTCCGAAGGCGCGGTGTCAGGATGGGGAAGTCGCCGCTAATACGGTGTCCCCCACCTTTATTACACCTCGACAGCCCCGGGGAACTTCAATTATCGCTGGGTGGCAGTCAACTCCGGCCATGTGGGAAAATACTGGGATAGTGAGACTCGTGTCTTTTTTCAACGATGAATGCGAAAATCGTCGTGACCGAATTCGGGCTGCACAGATTTTTTGAAGTTGAACGAAAAGAATTTTTATCATCCTTTCAAATAATAAATAATCAAATAAAAATTAAATGAGGGATATAAAATAATAAAGAATCAATATTTAACTTTAATTAAAATTTACATCCATTTAATAACGATTAAATATTCCAACATTATATCGTACAATATTATTAATATCTTTGCTCTTATCTCTTTACATACATTTTATTTAAAAACAAGCATGTATAATATATTTTGCCTGTTATAACATAATAGGCAAAATATATATATAATGTCATTAACATATTGATACAGTATATTACAAAAATGGCAGCGAAGGCGTTATTGAAATATTATCGGGAATTCCTGCGCCCCATTTTCCAATTCGGTGCCAAAATTTCGTCAGATATTCCGGTCGCGTCTTACGAACGTTATGTTGAATATCCTCCGGCCATGGCTCTCCGTAAGCGCCTAACCGCGTGCTGCGTCTAGAGGAGAGACTCTTCCGCGTCGGCTAACTTAAAACATCTCCAGCTTGCCCGTCGTCCGGCAATTTCTCGTCGGCACGTGAGCAGACTGTGCAAAGTTTGCGGAGCGCGCGTTTGCAAACGTCCGCGCGCGCAAGCGAGAAAGAGAAAGAGGAAACTCTCTAACGCTGGACCGCGCACGGAGGCAAGAGGTTACCGGCGAAGCCGAGAGAGCCTCTAGAATAAGTATGCTCGGCTAATAAAACGCGTACGCGGGTCGTTACACACGGCGTTCGCTTTCCAAACAAACGCGCAGCTCTCGTCACCGCGCGCACGGAAACTCGTACGACGCCGGGACTCACCGCCGGACAGGCAATTCATCGTCGTAAAAACGAGAAGCGCGACGAGACGACATCGAACGTCGTCGCGATCAGGAGGAGTTCAGTCAGTTCTCCAATTTTCAGACAAGCGAAAAGCATCGGTCGCTTTTAATGGATCTATATACACGCTGCCGCTGCTGCTGAATAAAGTTAAAATTTGACACATATAAGAAAACATATATATGTGTGTAATTGTACAATATTTATAATTTTTCTAAATGAAAGGGGAGGGAATATACATATATGGAAGGAATATATGTATGTATATATATATATATATATAAAGTTGCAGAAGAATATATATATATATTTTTTTTTCTGCAACTTTTATATTATATTCTTTGCAGTAGAATTTGAATTATCTATAATATGTGTGTGCGATTCAACTATTATTTGTTAAAATATTGAGCTCATATGACATTTCACAGAAACGACAGCTGACTCACGCGCTCCTTTCATCTTTTAAAGATTTCTCAAAATTGCTCCAATGTGTACATTACGGTGCATATCATCACGTCGGTCAAAGGCACGAAATTACGTAGCTTATAGCTCAAACTCTATACATATCTTTTGTTCGAACGCACACAAGATCCGATTCTTATTACGAAGTCCATTATATTATCGCCACACGATTCTTCCTTACGTCTTTCTTACGTCGCGCGATTGTTATCGCGCGAATATCGTCAATTTGCGAGACGCTTTTTATCTTTTCAATTATACATCCTCCGTTTTATCTTCGACGTTTCTCGAGTCGAAGAGCCACGGGAGCTCGACGCCGCGCCAGACCGTTAAAATGTCACTCGCGAAACAGTCTTATGTAACATAGAAGAAAGCGCGTTATGGAAAGCGCAAAGGCCAGCAGACGATCCTTTGCGCGCTTTCTACCTTCGATCTTACTCTTACGGTAATTACGTAGGCTCAGACATGTATGCACATACACCCACATCATGCCGAACCTATCTGCACACGAGCGATGTACAATGTGGTTCTATACTCCCACTTATATATCCCTTTGAGCGAATTAAATTATAACAAAATCACTTTCACAAGTTTATATAAGCTCCGTCTCTCACATTTATAGTACTTTATAGTTATTTTTTACATATATTTTTTATTCGATTCTAGATATTGACCGTAAAATCAATTACTAGAAAAAAATTAATTAAAATTAATAATAAATAAATTGGCTTATTAAAAAAATGTATGCGGCATAAAAGGACGCAAATTGTATACACTGAGAAAAAAAAAGTTGTTAACTTGACTAAATGCGTTCAACTAATTATTATTTCTTTAATTGAAATATTTAAGTATTTAAATTAAATATGACATATTAAATCTAACATGACGTATTTGACTTAAGTACTTAAATATTTCAATTAAAAAAATGATAATCAGTCGAACGCATTTAGTCAAGTTAACAACTTTTTTTTTCTCAGTGTACATATGTACATTTAACGTCGATTTATGTACCTTAGCTCATATTTGTACATTTGTCATTTCGATCACTACTCGGCTTCTCGCATATCGCGATTGGAATTTGTGTATAAGGAACTCGGATGCGCAAGTGTGTGAGGGGAAGAAGTAATCGCTCTTACCGTACTTACGTAGAATACGCGATGCGTATCGCGCGTAACGGCATGCAGTATTGGCGAGCTCGAAAATTGCCCGACCGCGCGATTGCAGTTTCGAAACTGCTCGATTTCTTTCCCGAGATTGGCACCAAGTTGCCGCTGCTGTTGCTGCTGCTGTATTCGACGCATTCGCCCGAGGGCCCCGTCTCTATCTCTTTCTCCTTAACACGAGACTTCCGTTTTCACGATACGCAATAATGGACAGTAACCCGAGGCTTTTTCAGGTCCCCGTGCTTGGCACAGAGGCGGCAATCAAATTTTATGAAAAAGCCTTTCACAAGGGACTCGGTATTTTTTTATCTCCCTCTTCCCACGTTCATTTTCTCTCAATTTCACGCGATTTATGTAACAATATTTACAATGAATTTATTACCTGAATACATGAATCTGAATAGTAATTGTTTTATTTAAAACGACAAAAGTGCGTTATGATGTGATTTTAGAAACGTCCTCTCTTCTGTTAGATACTGGACATTTTTTCAACGTATTGCATTATCGCGATAAATAATTATTACAGTAATTGCAATAGCAATAATATTTAACGTGTCGAAATCATTTAGACATATCGAGTCAGTTTTTAACAAACATTTCCATTTATTGTTGTAGGCGACAACCGCGAGCGGATACTTTGAGGTGCAGATCCTCTCGCTGACGAACAACAGGGGCACCCTGGTGGACGGTAGGTGTTGCGGCGGGGGAGGCGGGGGCGGAAAAGGAGGATTCCCGCCCTGCACGACGCCCTGCTCGACGATCTTCTGGCTCTGCCTCAAGGAATATCAGTCGAATGTCACCGCCATCGGCTCCTGTAGCTTCGGCAACACATCTAGTCAATTTATCGGTTTTAACACCTTTACTCTCACCGAACCCGCCACCCTGCCACTCCACTTCACTTTCCGATGGACGGTGAGTTATTACTTCAATTTACATTTGAATTTATTAAGCGTAATTGTTTTTCATAATTTTAATAGTGCAAAATATATATATATATATATAATATTATAGAATATATAATATTTTCGAATATATTGCATTATAAACATATTCCGCGAATTTGTTCCATTTAATTCGAATTTATACAAAAATATTATTTGTCGAAAACGCTATTCGGAATGTCAACATTGTCGGATGAGAATCAGATGGTCGCATTTAACGCTAAACACGCGTTGAGAGGATCGAGGACCGAGAGAAGGCAGGCAGGAGAGCACGTCGAGTGCCAAAACACACGCGCGGCATCACCTAATATCCGTGAGAACGTCGGCTGAAAATCCCAACCAGTCGCCGTTACACGTATACGAGGCGCGACGAGGCTTAATTCGATGTCCCGCGCGCGTTTAATAACGCGCTCCGTACGGTATGTATATACGGGACCGTAATTTTGTTTGGTCACCGGCACAATGGTCGCCGTGCCGAAAGAACGGACGGGCGAGAGGATGAAGCCGTAACGAGGGGACGACACATTCGGGAACTCGCGAGAATCAACCGCCACGAATCCATTTATCATCGACGTCGTGACACGACGCCGACGAGAACGGCGGCGTCTCATTAGCGACGCCGCCTCCGGGGACCGACACCGTTTGTATGCGTATACACACATATGCGCGTGTGTATCGATGTCCTTTCTTCAGTTCGAGCTTTCATTCTCGAAATCGCCGAAAACCGGCCGAGATTGATGTGAATCGCGGTGAACGCGCACCGTTCTTTCGCAACGCGCGATGCTAACGACCGCGCGAGTAAGAGTCGTGGTGTTTATGGCTCGCATTACATCGCCGGTCGCGTGAATAACGCAAATTTCTAGACTGTAGACTTGATTCCTTTGTCTACGATGAGGCGAGGATGCGCGCGCGAGAAAGAGAGAGAGAGAGAGAGAGAGAGAGAGAGAGAGTTATCGAATCCGCGCGAGGGATTTCCGGTCCGCTGGTCTCTCCCATCCAGCGCGAGTCGTTGCGTAAAATTCCAGTTTGGTTCCAGTCGCTTGGCAACTTCTCATCGTCGATTCCTCCTCTTCCTCTCTCTTTCTCTCGCTTTTTCCCATGTCCTCGTCCTTTCTCCCTCGTCCTCTGTAAACTCTCGCGGTGAAATTTTTACGATCGTTCATCCACGTTGAGTTTTTATCCCGCTGTTTCTTCTGTAGTTATGAATCAGTTCTTTCGACAGTTCTGTACGCGAATTTCTCATACATTCAATATTTGAAGAAGATCGCGTCGGCGTATTTTACAAATTTGATAATCGCGTCACTTGTTTTACACTTTTCATAAATGAGGTAATTGTCCTCTATTTAGTCGTGATGAAAGAAAGCATTTATAAATCGTGTGTGACTAAAAGAATAAAATTTTGAAGAGTTTTAAGGCCCCCTCCGAGATGTCATCATCATTATGTTATCGTCATAATATTAACATAAAATGTTCTGTCACGGTTTTATAAAATAGTTACAGTGCACTATCAGACGCTGCATTATACGCGGGAGAAACTCCGTCTTTTTTTTTTCTTTTTTTTTACATCCCGAAGAGTCGTCTTGTACTCAATTAGCAGCGTGCCTCCACCTACGATCCGACCGTTGTCGTCGTCGTCGTCTAACGTAATTACGGCATAATGCGCGAGCGATTTCGAGGAGACCCAAACAGTCCTCTCGAGAGACGTTGGAGTGCGCATGCAGGCGTGCCCTTGCGAGCCTGGTATACACATAGGACCGTCGAGAGTGTCCCCTTCAGACAACGATGGGCTCGGTGGGTGCCTGAAGGGGTCCCGAAGGGATACCGCGTTCGTGTCCGCGCGCGGACGAACACGCATTCGAAAAAACGCCCCCGTGTACCTACCTACCTACCTACCTACCTACCTACCTATCTACCTACACGCGCCCGTGTCGTCGTGGATTGTTTGAAGAGCTCCAGCTTCTCTGTTTGTATATTTCATAACTCGCTCGCGGGTATCTTTCGTCGAGAGGACCCATCGCGACAAAGGAAAACTACGAGGCCCTATTTTTTCCCCTCTCTTTCTCTCTCTCTCTCTCTTTTTTTCTCTCATCTCGAAGGACCGCCGCTACGAGAGATATAAACAGAAACCCTTAAATTGCTTCCCTTTCTTGTGAAGGGTTTCTTCTCCCGTTTTCAACGTGCTACCTTCGATCGTTTAGCGCTCTGCCGGTCTAATTCAATTATGGCGCGCCGTTGGTGCGTAATAAAAAAGAAAAAGTATCTAGGAATATAATATGCTAAGAAGCGTATACACGTGCGCCAGAGAACGTAACGTTTGTATGCGCGTCGAGCATGAGGAGATGACAGCGAAATAAGAAACGCGCAGAGATAAAATACGCTCGGATATCTCGGATATATCTGGATACGCCACGTATTCGCGTCGTG